TATCAGGTGTTCTTGTCGACGGTTTCAATGAATTCATACAATAGATAACACCAAATGGAAGAATAAGAATAAGATGAACACCTACTTGAAGAAGTAACATTAGAGTTAATTGTCTTTCAGTACGACGTCTTCGCATAGATACAGTTAAATATACTAAACGCATTGATTGTCGACGGATGTTAGATATCGTTAGAAATCCAAATATAATCATTAATAGAGGTGCTAAAATATAATAGAGAAATATTTGGCTGAATATATAAATATATATTGTTATATTAGCATGTAAATGGCAGGTTCTTATAGTTTCATTCCAATAATAAATAACTAACATCGGTGACATATAGATAGCAGCTACTATAGTAGCAATTACAATAATTATTGTTGGCGTTTGTATCGTACTTTTTGAATGTAATCGATGTGATTTTGAACTAGAACAATAACGATCAAATGAAGCTAAGACAAGCATTAGATTAGCTTGAAATGGAACAACAAATAAAATATAGAAATGTATTTTGCATCCAATTTGATTCTTTGCCCAATCAATAGAAAAACCACGTAAAAATTGTGTTAAACATGCTAAACAACTATAAATAATACTAAATATAGCATAAGCTAAGAAATAATGTGTGCATGATGATGAACGTAGAGCACGAGAACATAGTACACATATATTAAGAATATTTATGACCATAACAAGAGATAATTGTAATGGTTGTAGATAAATATTTGCTTGAAGTACTTGTTCAAGTAATTTACTCATATTGAAAAAAAAATCGCATAAACTTCTTTTTTTGATTTACTTTAAATCTAAAATATCATGAACATACATCTCATTATTTATATATATATTCTAAATAAAAATATTTAATATAAATATGCAAAATATGTATATAAAATGAATTCTTCTTATGTAAATAATTCAAATAAATATTGCTTCAGTAGTTTGATGAAAATCTAGAAGATTGCGTGTGAAAAGTATCAAGTTACAATGCATTCTCGCATAAATATCATAGGAAAAAAAATAGCACTTTTCCTTCGGGATTAAAATATAAAACGTGATGCAATTGTTAGTACTAATCATAGGAAGACCGTTTTATTCTATCTATTTCATGACAGATTCTTCTTCACTATCTTTTTCTTTAATGCTTCAGAAATGTAGTAAGAAAATAGTTTATATATTATAACGAGATGTTAGTAATATACGATCTCTGACGTATCTATGATTTTGTCTGTTGTAATTTGTAATAATTCGTTGCTAAGATGTCTGTCATGTCGGTAGCAGAGAAGTATTCAAAGTTCTATTCTATACTTCAACACTCCTTTTAGATCATGTTTCACACAATGAAGAAAATCATAAAAGAAAAAAGAGAATTCCATCTGCTATTTGTGACTGAGAAGCTTATAAAAATGAAATCGAATGATTATTATAATTCAATAAAATGATCACGAGAAGGAACAATTGTTTATCTCATAAAAAATTAGAGTTCATAGAGACTCAATAGGAATTAGTCATGATAGTTGCTATAAGTTTTTGATTCAATAAATATTAGATGCTATATCATTTTCTTTTAAAGCTTATCAAAAAAATTCGAATGCTATTTACTTCTAATGAACTCGGCAAAATAATTACAATGCTGAATTTTATTTTTCTTCTTTACATCAAAAAGAAAATCTTTTCTTTTCTATCTTACACGTACATGTTAGTCGAAGAAAAAATTATAATAACTAATTAATATTACATTAATGTATACTAATCAATGAATATACTTCCCACACACGTCATTAACAATCAGCATGATTGAAAGATTCTACACTGTTAAAATAAGAAAAATAATACTTAGCGTTGTTAAAGTATTCTGCACTATTTTTCTACTTGTTCAGCTAAAATTAGCTTCTGTGTGAATAATATAATGAAGTGTGACACGAGATAAAAGAAAAACCGCCGAAATATATATTTAGATTCTGTCTAAGATGTATTATTGAATAAGTAAATAAATAATTCATAGTTTATGAAAGATGAAGAACTATAAATAAAAATTTTTATAATTGAGAATTATTGAAATGTGTATTGTTTGTTGTTTTTATTCCATCATGTTTTACTAAACATCGCTTATCAGTTTAACAAATTTCTAACTGATCGATCTGAAAGATGAAATTATCATTGAATGTACAAGGATTTTTTTTTTTCATAATTTTTGTAGAAATCGATTGTATAATTATAATTTGAGCTTTAAACGTGATAGGAGCAATATTTAGGCTACTATCTTATTTGCAAACATGAAAAAGATTAAGTTTAAGTAAAATAAAATTGTTTTAAATTTTCGGCTGATCTAAATTTGATAGTTAACTTTCAAAGATTTGTTGAATGAAAGTACATACCGAGGGTGTAGGTGAAGAGAAGGCACTCACCGATCGTCGCAATTCAAAGTCCTTTTATTTTATTTTTTTATTGAACATCATATTCTTTAGTTTTGTTTTGTGTATATAAATGCTCGTACACTTTAACTAATTTGTGTTCATGTTATGTTTGATTCCATGTTAAAATGATAATTAAATAGTTTATTCAAATGCAAGAAAAAATTCATGACATTCATAGTAGAAATTATCGCTAGTGGGCTCTATAAATTGAAATTAATTAAAAAGAAAAAGAAAATTCATACTGTAGGACATTCTACAAATAACAGCTCATTAGATAGAAATAGGACAACTTAATATTTAATGAACCTCATAAACCGCAGTTAGCTAAAAATAAATTTGTTATCAGTGAAATTTTAAAAATTTCGAAAATTTGAAAATTTGAAAATTAAAATCGTTTTCTATTTTGATAGTTTTAATGAAAGAAAATTGTGAAATTGAATTGAACAAATTTTAAATTTCAATTTGATGCTTGCAAAAAAAGAAAACGCACAATTTTTGTTTATTGTAAGTAATAAAAAACTTTGTATATCTTTATTTAAAGAAACAACGAATATAGTTCGATCGGTTACATGAGTCAAAACAATGCTTTTGTTTTCTGTGATAAGAAAAATAATTGTTCTTTTTTTTATCAATCAACTCTATTAGGTTGATTAATATTTATCTAATTCTTTAATATTTGAATATAAATAAAAATGAATTCTTTGCCATTGTACATATATTATTATATAAAATATTCATTATTCTATACAAAGGTCTTATTATTTAACAAAAATAAAATACAATGATCAATGAACTTTTAGTTTATTATTATGGTAAATTGCTTGAGAGTAATCATATTGAAATCATTGTTTTCATTCGAAAACTCCAATTAACATAATTTTGCACGTAACTTCAAAATCAAAGAAAAAAAAATTTCACTTTAAATATCTTTTAATAATCGACCAGATTTTCTTAATTCTTCCAAATGTGATTTTTCTGGTTCGGATAACCAAAATAAATTATTTTCTAAAAGACCTGCTAAAACAAAAGCATGACCCATTTTTGGTTTTTCCATATTAATAACTTGTTCTAATGTATAGTCTTGTCCTAAATGATCCCATCCATCAAAATCTAATAATGCCATTGGTTTTTTATGTTTATCATTTTTATCTCCACAACAATATTTTATATAAATATCATTTAGTTTTTTATATGCATCGGTCTGTTCAACATATTTTGCATATAATGGTGCATAGATTGTTTTACGAGCTTCAATATAATTTAATTTTTTTCCATTCCATAAAGAATAAAGTGGTTTATTTGCTTTACGTCCAAGTGGAAAACGATGTGCTTTAGAATCATTCCAACCATTTTCAGCCCATTGCCAATAGGTTTCTGATGGTGAATAACCATCTGTATCAGTAAATTGTTTATAAACTTTACAATATTGCCAAGCATTTTCCATATTTTTTGCAATAAACATTTTACCATCTTTATTATTTGGATATAATTCAATTGGACCTAAGAAAAATGGACTAAATTCTAAACACCATTTTTCTTTTGTTGTTGATGTAACATTATAAATAAGCCAATTTTCATTTGTTAAACATTCTGGTTTAGGACGTCGCATAGCAAATATTCGTATATGATCTAATGATAATAATGATGATAAATGTCGATTTTGCTGAGAATGAATTGAATCTCCAAGATTTGTTTGTTTTGCTTGTTTAGATTTTTTATCAGAAAATGAATTTTTACGTTTTGCTTGTGTTGCAGACGCCATATTATGTGTTTCTTCAAATGATCAGCTGAATTTTGGCTAAGTTGAGTAATAACTCAATTACACCATGTTATTGCGAAAATAAAAAAAACAACAGGAAAGAAAGAAAAACAACGTGACTGTCAATGTATGTTAACCTTGTGAGGAAAAAATGACACAAGTACATCATCACGTTGTCATGCCCAATCAAAATGGAAAGAATCTATGTTGATATGATTCAACAATACTATATTGATATACCATATGTCATCTATTATTACAAACACTCTAAAATCCTTCAAGCTTAAAATTAAGAGTGAAAAATGTCATTCTAATGCGAAATTTCTGTGTTTTAATCGTAATATTATAGTGTGCTTATGAGAAGATTTATTTGACTATAAAAAATTACATTCAAAAACGAACAGTTTGATTTATGAATAAGAATGATGAAAAATATTTAAAATGACCGATATTATGCTATTATGACGATTTATTCGAACGCTTTTAACTTTTGAATGAAATAACATAGAAATGTCGGACTTCTGTAAAGTGATAGATCATAAACCCTCATGAGACTAAATAGCTGGTCTTCGGATTATGAACCAATAGGGATGAATATTATATATAATAATGCCATTGGAACAGTCTCTTGTTGAATGATGAAAAGTCGCTACTGTCTATCGTTCTATTTTTTTTTGTTGAGAAAATACAACCAATCCATTGCCTCTGATTCCATCGTGTTCTACTACTAAATATTTTTCGGATGTTCAAAGTATTTTATATGTAACAAAAAAAGACACGAAATAAATATCTCCATAAACGATAAAAATAATACCATTTCAAACTACAACTGAGATATGTATTCATGTGCTACTTCTTTGCCCCAAAAACGAATATCATTATGATGCGAAACAATTGGTTTCAATTGATTGAACCTATGCTTTACAAAACTTTCGATTATTAAAGATCTTTCAAAGTGAATTATCAATTGCATACCAAATTGTGTGTACACTTATTCAAAATCTTTATTGACCTTTCTAACAATGTATTTTCATATTTTGTGAAGGAATATTACTTTTATGTAGACAATGTCAAATGAAAAAAGAAAATAAAGTCAATTTAATATGATTCATCAAAATTGAAAGATAAATGTTTTCATAGTAAGGGAACAAACAGGGGAATTTGATCACAGTTTTCTGCGTTGTTAGATTGGAGAAAAATCAATAAAAATGAAAACGTAAAAGAAACAGAAAACAAAATAATTGTATAATGAAAAGTAATAATACGTGACACTTTTTGAACAAATAAAATTGGGAAACGATATATTTTTTTCCATGATTTTATTTATTGTCGATTGATTCAATGGATAATTTTGATTATTATCTTCAACTGACATCCAACCATAAATCTTATAACTATCCATAATATAGTAATTACCATTCTTCACTACATATGGAATTTGTCGAGAATAATTACCCGACCAATAATATGCATGATAATTTTGTTCAGCAACACGAATAGAATCCTTTAAAACATCGACTATAACAGCAACATGTCCAAATGGCATATCTTGACCAAGACTATAGATGAGCAATGATTCATTTTTCGGTGGACTCGTTGAACCATTTTGATATTGTTTTAGAGAAAAACATTTTCCATCGACAACTCGTTGAACTTTAAAAATTTGACTCCACATATCGTTGGCTGCGTCAACACTATCAAAAACACAACCTTTACGTATGAAAAGCCATCGACGTGCATATTCAACACATTGCCATCTCATTCCAGTATATATATTATAAAGATAGTTGGGTTCGTTGGATATATAGCTATCATTTCCATTCGAATAGGCTGGTACATTAGTTGATGCTATGCCAACCATTGCACCGTATGCTGCTAATGTTGAATTGCCAAATGCTCTTGCATTTACTACAAAATTTTTGAAAATAGCATAAAAAAACAACAAATTTAAGACTATATTTTACTTAAAATTTCTTACATAGAACAGATTGATTTACTTTAGATTCTGAATTCAGAGAGAATATAACTTCTAGTAGTTTAATAGAAGTCTTTTAGTATCTTTACTCAGATCAATAATTCCAACACCTATATCCTTGAATTTCTAGCAGGTTCTAACGGGAAAACTCGGAAGAATAGTAGAAACTTAGATGCAAGAATTTGACAGTTGGAATTTTTGTTATGTCGATGGTAGTCAAGCAGAGTCGATTACTAGATCCAGCCACCGAACTTCTTTTTTCTGGTCGGAAAGAACTCATATTTTATGACTTGGGTATCTTTAGATAAATTCATATTCAACAACACAATTTTTCAGCTGTTTCTAATTACTTATGTTTTCTGACTCATTCGACTAAATAATATTTGAAAAATGGATGTTTTTCCTTGCAAAAAATAAATTATTATTATAAGGTTTCGCTCTACCATGCACTGTCTTGTTTGAGCACATCACTTATTGAGATTCTCATAAGTTTAATTTTATTTTCTTATTCTTATTTTTCGTTTCTGTTTGAAAATTGCTTTGTCAACTTCACAAAAAAATCTGAAAGTACAAGATTTTCAATGAGAATTCATACAAAAAATTAGATGTAGTAGAATGACTATAATCTTGATTAAACTCTTCAAGCATGGCTATGCTGCAGATCAACACTTAGGAAAAGGAAACTAATGCTCACAATCAGAGATTATCCTAATATAAATGGACTCAATAATTTTTTTCATAAAAGAACTTATATTCCAATAGATAATGGATTTCATAGATCATTATCTATATAGAATCCGAATATATTTAGTGAAACTGTCAGCTGAAAACTTTTAGATTTGACATAATGCTATAATGTCGAGTCTTTTTATATGTGAATATGGTTTCATAATAATTGACTATTCGATACAGAATTATTACTGTTTGTTACATCTCTTAAATATTGTTAGTGCACAATTGAAAAAAAAAATACATGGTCTTTGTGAAAGTAAGAACTTACTAGAGTTCAAATTTGAATCGAAATTTTTTAATTGAGTAACAATATCACATTTTGAATAACGATAGATAATCGTGAAAAGAACGATCAGAAGAACGATTTTCATGATTAAAATCAGAAGAATTGACCTTAAACGTAAACAGAAAAGGTAAGAAATGCAATATCATACAAAATATTAAAAGAAAACATATAGAACTTGTTATGCAAAGTATAGAACAGTAAGAAAAAAAAAGAGAAAATTACAGAGAATGTCTATATTTTACGCCGCTCGATACATCAAGAACGAATGTCAGCATATCATTCAAAACACTCTTACACGCACTGTTATTTTTTTTTATTTTTATGTTTACCTGACGTGAAATCAAGAGCGAGCAATAATTTGCCAAAATATGTATGGTTTTACATTCAAATGAAATAATTGAAGCTGATCATGTATCCATGTAAAGCAAATATTCAACTAAATCAGGTTTTATTTTCATCGTAAACCGATGCGACCAGTAAATTATATGAGCAACTAGGGTGAAAGTGTAGCTGACAGTAAAAAGAAGACCTAAAACTACACATTACCAAGCCTTTCTCACATATTAATGTATACTTATAACGAAATCGTGTGCCTTTCTGCATCGAAGCATAATAGTTTGAATTTCGAATGTAAATCATTCAGCGTGTTGTGATCAAGATTCTAAGTTGAATCGCTTGCCATAGAGTTTTATTCATACAAGAATTGTTGACTATGTAATGAGAATCTGAGCACCGTTAGTCATAACGGATCTTGTATCGATATCGTTGTTTGAAATTTTTGACTATAGTTGTAGTCAATCCTGTTCACGGGCCGTGAAACGGAGTCATTCTACAATCAATTGACAGAAACTTTTCGAACAGTACAGTTAGCTCTAAAAATATGTAGTTTATGAGTCTTTTTATATTAGAAAACGTAGAAAAAAATCAAAACAGTAATCAATTATATTTTCAGAACTATTCAATAAACATGAGTTTTGTCATTTAGGTGTCTCTGAAAAATTTTACAGACGATCTCGTTTAGTTTTTTTTTGACAAATAGAAATACCGCAATAAGGCTATTCTTATGTTCTTTTGAAATATCCTAGTTTTGTTAGAGAGAATCTCTTGCTATCTTGAAATCAATAAGCGAATGATAATTGCAAGTCATATTACGAGTTACAGTAAGGTTTTTTTTCTCTTCACTTAGATAATATCCTATCAATTGTTTTTCTTGCACCATGGTCATTTTCGCCTACTTTCATCTTTATTTTTAGCATAGATAATTTTCTTTGTGAATCCATAATTGATTTTTTGGCAAAGTTCAAATGGATCCAATGATTTGCTTATTCCTTTCTTGAGTTGATCTGATTATCTCAAACAACAAAAGATACCGAGTCTTCAATAAACATACATAAGTTGTTGATTAGTCGAATTCAAGATAAATATATTTTAACCAATGTGCTATTTAATTACGAACTTATTTATTATTGACGTTTTTTCACGATATGTGTTGGTCTGATAGCGAATAAGGAGATGATGAATACCTATACTCACACTCTTCTTTCGAGTACAATATTTGATTCTAAACTTTTCAGGAAATATCGTCTAAACATTTCATATGATTGTTCCCTAGGTCAAAGATTATAGTAAGAAGTGACGATCACTGTTCAAAGATTCAATGAATTTAATGAAATTGATAGTGTAAATGGTCTGAATCAAGTATTACATATATAACAAGGTGTTGGCTAAGTTAAAAAGTCTTTCCTTTCTCGAATTATAAGATCTACAAGTAGCAAGACTTCAACTTATTATAACTCTATTCTAACTCGAACAATTTTTAAATGTGTGACATGAATGATTATCACTCATTGTAGAGTACATCCACACAAAATTTCTGCTGTGTAACTCTTCTATAATGACTGTAGCTCGAGAGAAAGATTGAAGCTTTTTGGCAAGTACCTTAGAGTGTTTATTATTACTCAACTTGTCAAATTCGATTCAAGAAACCTATGCATATATTTCATTAATAACAATCTTATTTACACCTTTGAGAACTTTATAGTATCTGTAATGCTTATTAAAGAAAAAGCAATTAAATACGAATTTAATGTTATTATTATTCTATAAAGCTTTATGAAATTTTTTTCTCATATTTATTCATCTATAAAAAAAAAAGTGAAAGAGCGATTGTCAGTTTAATATGAATAGTTCATTGTGTTTGCAAGTTCAAGACTCATTTTTTTTTTTACTTCATTTCGACATTATTACACAAACCATCCACTTCGATACTTGATAACTATCATTCGTCCTCGAGAAGCAAGATAAAAAAAGATACGTATTTGATTATTGCATAATATGATTATGAAATACAAAGCATAATGTAAGCTAATAGAACCAAAGATTCGTCATATTTCGATGGCGTAGCATTCATTTATTGAAGCATAAAAGCATTTTTGTTAATCTTTTGTAATCATTTTTTTCTTTTTATATATATATTCGACTACCTTGCTTGTATTAATACGTAAGTATAAATAATACTTCGTTTTCTTTTTCTTGTGTTTATCTCTATTTATCATTATTACTTTAATATTTTTTTGTAATAATATATTGAAAATTTTATTAAACTTGTCTCTTCGAGATCAATCAACTTTTGAAAATTTAATCCAAAAGTATCTACTTAAAATGATTGATATTTTATATATCCTCTTGACACATAGACAACATTTACTCATATGAGTTAGTAAAATAAAGATAAAACCAAGAATGATTATTATGATAAAACGGAATAAAAAAAAAAAGAGATTTAAATCATAGTTATGTGAGCAAAATTGTAAAAATACGTTCTATTTTCAATGAATAAACTATGTAACTTTGAAAAGTATTTTAGATGGCTCTGTACGAATTAGTGTTGTAATTGACGATGTTTAATTAGAACTTTTATTAAAATAGGCGTCTATTGTGAATTTTTCAAAAGGAATTTTGCATCTGATCTTATTTATAAATGTAGACAATCTCTAGATGGATATGATAATAGGTTTTTTATCGAAAACATGCAGCTAGAGAAAGTAGCTAAATGCCGAAAATTGTAGATTCTTGGTGAAAACCTTTTTCTAAAATTTTTCACAATAGAACGTAATTTCATACACAAGCACACAGCACAACAATGAGAGTGAAAATGAATTCTATGACTAAAAAAGGATTTGGATTTTCTGGATTCTGCTTTTCGATATTGAGATACTAAACCTCCAGGTGTGTACACCAGTCGTATACGTTCATATTTCATTTTGATATGTATAAAAACTTCACTTAATAACAATATTGAATGGATGTCTGCACGCAGTAAAAATTCAACATTGAATAATTAGTTATGTAAATAAACTAATTCCTATTATTGATCATCATTTGAAATCTATGAATAATTACCTTATGAAATTTTAATTGTATGTGAAAACGGAATCGTTTTCGGATTCATATGACTCTATGAGCTTGTTATGATACAAAGCACATGTAATTTTTTTTAATACGAAGTCATAAAGCAATGGAAAAAATATTCAACAAAGACATATAGTAGCTCGTTAGTAAAGTTGCTACCTTCTACTCTGTAGGAACCAAGGTTGAGTCTCATCTCAATTGTTTTATTGAAAAGCTTAAAGTCGTGTTGAATGAAAATAAATAGATGATATAATAACAACAATGCATCAATACCGAAACAGGGTATTTATATATGTTTGCGAAATTAATTGAAATTAATGATCACTAACAGTAAATATCGAATACAAATAAGATTCTGCACCAAGAGGAAAACATGACATAACTTATTTATTAATGAATTTTATTTTATTTTTCAAATTTATTGGAACTATTATTATCTTAAAATACAAAAGAAACTAAAAATAAAAAGAAGTACTATCGAATACATATAATCGACATTTTATTATACAATGCGACACATTTTCTATTCATCATTTTTATTGCAACATGTTTTATATTTACTAGTTCAATATTATACGTTTCTATTGTATAGTATTGGATAGGGGCATAGCCAGAAGATCATGGGGTGATGGGCCAGTACACGATAGCATTGGAGGAAACTCATAAAGTTAAATGTCAATGACGGTAATTATTACTTTTTTTTTTTCTTGTGGGAGCATCGAGTAGCATCTCGCTTAGTCAACTCGTGGTTACACGTCTATGATCCTAAATATTCCTCAGAATTAAAAAACAAAAAATTCTTGGTAGAATGAGAGCAGATTTTAACAATTATAAAAATTTCGTTTTTGAAAAACAAAATATATAAATAATGTATTTGAGTTAAACGTGAGATGATGAAAATTTTCGTTTTTAGAACCGATAAATCAACTAAAATATTGAATCTGTTAAATAAAGTTCCAATAAAGTACTAATTGTATTAATAAAAGGAAAGAAATGCTTGATTTCATTTTCTCTTCTTTTGCATTTTATAAGAAAAAAATGTCATAACTTAGTAATCTGTCGTTTGTTTTCACCTGATAAAATATGTCATTTAAAAAATAACGATGAACAGTGAAGAACTTCTTTGTTTCTCGTCAAATATAATACATCTTGATTTGTGATTAATGTTGTAAATGAGTTTATAACAGTTATGAATTACTAGAATTAAAAAATTATTCTTAGATCGAAAAATAATCCAAGAATGATTTCTTTTGATATTGCTGTGCCTCATTTCACATTATTAATTAGTATACTTATTTAAATTCATTGAAGTTTTCTATTGCACGCTATTCTAATATAATATAAAAATGTATATTGAATCTTCCTATTTTTAATAATGCCATTTTAAGTTCTATAAACAGAAATTAAGTTGTCATACATATTAACGTAAAATTTTCTTTTTTTATGTTTATGAAATAGCACGATTTTTACAAAACATAATAATACTAAACAAAGAACTGTTTTCTAGGTTTTTTTTTTAAGAAGATCTACAGTTTTAGAAAAAGGAGAGCAGTCTAATATAGATGCTATTGTAGAAAATATTAGCAATAGAATGTATTTCGAAATTAGTTTATATATTTTTTCTTATAAGGTACTGATATATGTTCAGGTATAATAAACATTTTGATTTTCTACTTAAGTTATACCAGTCTATCACATAATGTCTGAATTTGATACACTTTATTTATTACGTTAAAAGTGATCATTACGTTATTTCGATGTTCGACATCATAAATACATGTTTGGTTTATGATCGTTTACTTATTACTCTATAGCAAATGATCATCATGTAATACTGTGCCGTGACGTCTTTATGAAGGAAGAGTAAAATAATTCGCGAGTCAACGAGAGAAAATATATGACGTTTCACGAATAGCAGAAAGAATAGAAAAATATTGGCGACTTGATGTTATAGTTTTTTTTTTTCTTTCTTTCTTTCCTTTGTTCATGATAATCAGATGTATCATTTTGCTATAGTTGCAGATGTTTCGGTCTATCGTCTATAATACTTACATAGCTGTGTGTTTTGATGAATTAATTCCAAGCTATTGCATTGAGGTTAGTCATATATTTTAGTCTGAGTCATATTCTTTTTTTTTTCTCTGAATAAAAGTGCACATGACACTTACGCATTCTTATCAATTATCGATGCGCATCGTCGTTTTCTATTACCAAAAAAAAAAAAAAAATGTAATCTATCGTTGTCGTTCTGTCGCTTTTTTTTTTCTTTGCATTCTTGTTTTGCGATAGTATGCCAACATCTTTACTTTCACTCCATACGACTGTTTTTTTATAAGGAGAAAAATAAAGAAAAAAAAAGAAGTTGGAGATTTTTGATGTTTATTATAGTTAAATAGAATGAAATATTGTAGTGGTACTTGTACAAAATTATTTAACATAATCAAATCAAGTATATTGTTCTTTCGACATCATGGTTTTTTAATTATACGTTTTTTAATATTATTTATCTTCTGTTTACTATTACTCTATTTTTCATCTATTCATTATTATTCATTCTATTGTACAAATCGATTTCAACAAAGTTTAATTCAAGCAAATGAACGTAATTTATGGAATACAATAAATGGTGTAAGAAATCAATTTATGCCAATATTAATGCCAGTTTGTGATCGACCACATTATTTAAAAAGAGTTTTAGATGGTTTAACTAGAGTTGATGGAATAAATGAGGTAAAAATGATTGATGAATATTTATATTAAATGAAAATTACTTACAAGAGAACTACTCCAATTGACACTAGATATTTGAACTTATATTAAATCTACAGACAGATACCAATGAGATTAGCATAAGTCTAAAAAAGTTTGTTTTCATTGACGCCAGGTTATTTTCACTTTACTAGATATTTGATCCATTTTTAAATACTCTTCGGAAGATCGAATAACGATATTTTGATCTAAAGTTTTATCTATTGATAGATATAATGACTGTTAGAATATCCTAAAAGGCTCAACCGAAAAGAATGTTCCTTCATCAAGATATTGAATTTCTAAACATAGTTCATTATCATCACAGATGAATTCAAACGGCAGATGTCGCTTGAGATAGTAGTTTCCTTGTTAGTATATTTGAATTCTTAATTTTCACAGATTTATTTTTCTATATTTAGACAGTTGTCATTATTTCTCAAGATTGTGCATTATCATCGATTACATCTACACTATCATCTATATCATCACATATTCGTACACTTATTCTTCCACATACTCCTCCATATTTTTCTTTACCACGTTATGTTGATACTAATGAATATGCTACATCTGCTAATGTTAAATTTTTATTAGAATTTGCATTTGAATATATGTTAGCTGATGGAGCCATACTTCTTGAATCTGATCTAATACCATCTGTTGATTTTTATCGTTATCATCAATGGACATATAAAAAACTATTAAATATAAATAATTCGAAAATTCTTTCTATTCATTCTTTTAATCTTTATTCAACTAATTTATCTGATCCATATACATTATTTTCTCGAGGTTTTGATTCTTGGGGTTGGTCAACAGCAAGAACAAGATGGTCATGGTTTAAAAATCAATGGACTAAATATAAAAATTGGGATAGTATTGTAAGTCGACGAGCTAAACAAGATAAATGGATATATTTAATACCAAAATTAAGTCGAACAAGAATGATTGGTTTGAAAGGAATTAATGTGAATGTTTATAAGGAAACAGAAAAGAAACAATTTGAAGAAAATATGTATATGAGTGATAAAATAATTGAATATAATGAAAAACAACCAAATATTGTATCTTCTTCAATATAAAATCATATTGATAATGATTTTATTTTATAATTGAAAATGTATGAATTATAATCGTTATGAAATGAAGATTCTATTAATATAGTCTTTCATTCAATGTTGATAATTTTGACTATTAATTTTCAGTTCAAAATATTTTATGAAATATGATCAAAGAGAATTGTTAATAAAAGTATAAATTATATATCTATCAATGAACCTTCAATAATTTGATTAAAAAAAACAAAAAAAAAGGAAAATTTAGTATCTTATGATCTCTTAGTCTTGATAATACAAGTCATTGTTGAAACTATTTTTTTATATAAAAATTTTCATTCGTTTTCTTTTTATTGTTGTGAAATTCCTTGTGCAATGAATTGAATTTTAATTAAAACGATTTATCAATATTTAATTCTTGTTCTTAAAATAAATGAAAAAGTGTAATCCTGAAGTGAAAATTCTTAAGTTGCTTTACAATAAGATTCAGCAATTAAGTAATCAAAAAAACAATTTAGATCGATATTTATTTACAGTGAAATGAATATCGAGTAGTTATTTTGCCCGAGCTGTACTAGTTCTTATGATGTAAGCCTCGTTATTATAAGAATCTATTTCTTGTATGGAAATCAATGTTAATAGAACCGAAATATGCATGTAAAATAACGAGAGTCTATGAAGCACTATTAATATTTATTGTACATTATGTTCATATTAAGTCTTATTACATTTTTATCAGTATCAAACATTACATTATAATAATGAAATAAAAATCTAGCATTATTAACATCTCATATAAATTTATTTCGTTTCAATTATATGAGCTTCTTGTGAAAAAGATGCAGAAAGTGTTACAAATCGATATTCGTTTTAATCTTCTATTTACTTCATTACTAATCACTAGTATATGATAAGAGAAAAACAACACGACTAAATATACGAGATTTTGTTTTTTTTTCATTGAGTCTAAAAATATCATCCTTTTTGTCTTTCTACGATTAACGAAAAAAAAATATTGTGTACACATGCAATAATCTACGCAAAAGTTATTTTTTGTTATTGTCGAAGTTCATTTCTTACAAAAGAATGATATTATCAACATCACAAAAAATACTATGTGCAAAATGTGGTAAAGCATCTGGATGTTTTACATGTCGAGGATGTCAAAACGATTTTTGTAATCGACATGTTGTCGAACATCAACAAGAAATAAGAAAACAATTGAATGATTTAACTGTTGATCATGATCATTTTCGACAAAGTCTAACTGAACAAACACAACAACCACAATATTATTCTTATATAAAACAGATCGATGAATGGGAGCAAGAGTCTATTAATAAAATTCATCATGCGGCTAATGATGCTCGACAACACATACAAAATCTGATTAATCAACATATAGCTGAATTGAATGAAGATTTAAGTAAAATTACATTAGAATTACATAAAGCTCGTGAAGATAATGATTTTTATGAAATACATTTAAAACATTGGATGGAAAAGCTTAATAAATTGAAAAATGATTTTGCTCAAGCAGCAAATATCAGCATTAGACAAGAAAAAAGTAATATTATTTCATTTATGCCGAACATTTTGCTATCAAAGTCGTCAAAAGAAATCTTTGAACAATCAATTGGCAATATTAGAATTGAAGATAATGGTCAAGTTATTGTCAAAGACCAATTTAATGGCGATGCAACTGTACGTGGCAATGGTGAATATGTTTTAGGAAAACATCGATTTCGATTTAAGATTGAGGTAAATGGTACGAACAAGTGGTTATTTATTGGAGTTGCATGCAAAAATGTGCCTATACGAGAGGTATCCTATTGCAACAAATCTAGCTATGGTTGGTGTGGAGGTGATCGAGTCTTGATCAATGGGATTTACCACTCTGGATTTAATGGCTACAATGGTGATATACAAACTAATGATATAGTAGAATTATTAATTGATTGTGATCAACGAATCATACAGTTAACCAATGAACGAACACATAGTATATATACACTTGAAGTTGATACGAATAAATGTCAATTTCCATGGCAAGTTAATTTCAATCTTTATTTTGCCAAGGATCGTGTTACTATTCTTCAAGTTTAAATAAATAGTTTAAATAGAACTTATAACAGATGTAT